GCCCCGCGCCGCCGCCGCCGCCGCCGCCGCCCCGCCGGCCATGAGGCCCCGCCGGCGCCCCAGCGCGGCCCCGCGTCGCGGCTGCTGAGCCCCCGCCCGCCCCGCCGCCACCATCGCCCTCCCCGCCCGCGCGGGGACCCCCCCTCGGCTCCCCTCCCTCCTCACAGCCGCCGCCATGTTGGGCCGGGAGCCGCAGCGGGGCCGCCACTGAGCCCCGGGAGCCTGCGAGGAGGAGGCGGAGGAGGAGGCGGAGGAGGAGCCCCGGCCCGGCCGCCCCGCAGAGCCCAGCGCCGGCCGCAGCCATGGCGGAGCAGACCTACTCCTGGTGAGCGCGGGACCGAGGCCGCGGCGGGGGCCGGGCCGGGCCGAACGGGGCCGGGCGGGGAGGGGGTCCCGGGCGGGGCGGGGGGCGCCGGCGGCGGAGGCTGCGGGGGGGCCGGGCATCGAGCACCCAGCGGCGGAGGGGCTGCGGGCTGAGGGCTCAGCGCGGCGGAGGAGGAGGGATTAGGGGCGAGGGAGGAGGGACAGGGCGGCCGCGCTGCGCGGATCCCCCCGCCGGCAGCGGGACGGCAGCGCTGGAGCCCCGGCGGGTCTGACACCCGCTCTCCCGGGGGGCTCCGTGTGAGCCGAGCTCTGCGATCCGCCGGGCCCGGGCAGGGGCAGCACCTCGGTGAGGCTGAGAGGCTGCAGGTCACCTCTGCCCACGGCGAGATCGGGGCCAGCGCAGGCTGGTGAGACGGTGTGTGTGTGTTTGCACCTGGTGACAATGGGCTCGGGCTGTGTACAGGAAATAGAACGGGGAGGAAGAGACCAGTTCCTGTGGGAAGACATGAAGTGTAGCAAATGAGAGGGCATTTTTTTTCGATGTCCTGACACTGTCTTGGGCCTAGCTGGCACTGGATCAGAGAGACGGGGTGCAGCTTCTTCGTATAATTCTTGGTTTTTTGTGCTGTCATGGATAACGACCAGAATATCTCAAATAATTTACCTGTGTATCAGCTCTATTGACCTGACCACTGCAGCAATTTGTGATACTCACCCTGCATTTTAAATCTAGCGATATCATCCAGTGTTGTTTCTTAGATTTGTTGGAAAAAAAAGGAGTTAAATCACAGCTTTTGACCTTGGTGTGTGCTGTATGTGGAGAAGTAATACTCCTATCTGAATGGTCCTGGAAATCTTTCCCATTACTTTTTCAGAACTTGGAACCCAATGGAGATTTCTGTTCTGCCACATGTTGAGACTTTTGGCAAACCCCTTCTTCTCTCTTCTGTCACTTCTCTGTCAAGAACCAATATTTGCACTGGTCTTCTGCCTTTTAGATGTTGTTATTTTGTGTCACAAGCCCACTTCAGGCAGTGGTGTGCTCTGCTTTAAAACAGCAGCAAAAAGACAACTCTTCTGACTTACAGGATTGACTGAGTGTTGTTATGGTAAATGAATGTGGTTACAAATTTAGGCAGTTTAATGTAGTTCAATTAAATATGTCTAGTGAACTGTTGTCTTAGTGTGTTTTAATTGCAGAATGAAATTATAGATGCATAACTACCCTGGGATTTGTCAGCTTTCTTTAAAGAAGTCAATGGAAGGAAATGTCAGTTGTATGTTATTTTGATCATGAACTCCTTTGCTTTTCTGAATGAGAGTCTTTGCCATGGTAATAATCTAAAGGGAAAGTTTTTAACAGAGGCTGGGGGGAGGATTTACTCTTCTTTAGGTTGCATATTTTAGGGGAATGAAGTTGGGATTTAAGTTGTTCCTCACTGTTTCCCAGGTGGGTCTCAAGAGTGGAAGTTCTTTCTTACAGTTCTGAGGTTGTAACAGAACAAGGACGTGAGGCTCAAAACACTGTAATTTTGTGTCTCTATTCACTCATGTCCTCATGTATTTGAGGTTTCTGTCACTTTGCATTGGGAGCTATGGACAGAGAGAAAATCCAGTTCCAGACTCAGGAGTGCTGCTCTCTTCCCTGTGGATGTTTCGTTACTTACACTTCGAGCAACAGTCTTGCCGTGGTTTATTTTTAATTACGGTAATGCAGCTCTGCATAAAATTGGCCAGTGCTTTAGTGCTTTTAGGAAAAATGTGCCTTTTGTGACCTGAGGAGAGTGGTGCAGCAGAGTTGTGCCCAGGAGTGAGCAGGTGTCCAGTTTGGAAGTTGGCCGATCCCATCCTGTCCGTGTGCCAGACCTGGGCCTTTCTCTGTGTTGCGAAGGTGGCTCTCCAAGCACAGGTGTGTTCGTGGTGCAGTGTCCAGCTGCTGTGCACACACCTCATTTCATATCTGAAAATACAGAATTTGGCATGAAGAAAAATCCTTTCGCACCTCTGTCTTTGCATGGATGTAAATTGGTTCCTGGCCACGGTAGTGCTTCCCTTTTGTCCAGGCATGTAAGGCTTGATTACTCCTTTCTGTGCATAACTCTCAGCATGTGTTGTTGAATCATTGGAGCTTCATAAAATGATAAAGGTTTATTGTGGGTTTGACTGTTTTTAAAAAATTGTCTCAGTTGTGTTAGAAATACCTTGAAAAAATGGACTTGCCAGCTGTAATTACTGGGCATTGGCAAACACACAAAACAGGGCTTTTCTCAGTGACTGACATCTCGTTAATTATGTTGTTTTGAAGAGATGAGAACTAATTCTCATTTTTCTGTATTTATTGTTTCGTTAAATATAAATCTGAGATTTCAAGGTAGGTTTATATTTTTCTTTTAATTACCAAGTGGAACTGATTGCAATTACTTACTTTTATCAAGATGTTTTAAGAAGGAAACCTACACTTTTTCCCCATCTCTTTCATAGTTTTAAATACAGTTTGTCACTGTTCTTGTAAGTTATTTCTTCCAACAACTTCTTTTTTTCTTCAGTAATGCCCACACCTATAACCATATGTAGTTTTATTTAGTTCTCTTTGAATGTCTTAAATAGTCTTGCTGAGCGAGTATTTCAGATAGAGGTGTGTTATCTTTGAAAGGAGTCTCTACTGAGAATTTTGCAGGAGAAAATGAATACTGTCATCCTGGAAAAACTAATTTTAATGTGAAATGTGGGATAGGTGCCAGATGGAAATGCTCTTTCAAAGGGTATGCACTTTTTTTTTTAAAATGCTTGTCAGTAGTGAGTAGAGAAACTTTCTTTGTCAAGTTCCTGCAGTAATGGAAGGAAGGGAGAGCTGTGTCTGATCCCGCTGTTACTCAACTCCACAAGCGCTGCTGCATCAGAAAGGGGTTCATGATTTTCTGCATTAAATAGGAGCTGAAATTAAGTCCCTACCAGTGGAATGGACTGTGAGAGGAAAGGGGTTGTGGAATACCCATTTTCCCCTCGCTTCCTGTCTGTATTCCAGCAAGGAAATGGGACTGGGTAGTGACAAAAGTTCCTGTGGCAGCAGAGGGGGGAATAAATATGTGAAGAGCTGTTTGCCCATCACCGATGTATACTGATGTGTGCAGGAGATTAATAAATACCAAGAAATTTATCTTCAGGCACTGAGCTTTTGGAAGTGTTACAGCAGATGAGCAGCAGGACTTGGATTGTTACTTCGTGAAATACTTGGTCTTTCCTCAATTTCTAGCACTTTGTGGTGAATTTTTTGTGCTGGAGCCTGTCGAGAGTGCACAGCAGTGTTCATATCTTGTTTATCTTCAGTTAGTAGGTGTTCAGTGTTTTTCAAGGCCTGATGTAACACCCCCTCCCTTTTTACTGTTGCCCAGTCTGGCAATAGAGATTGCTTTGTTCTTTTTTTGCCCTTTGAATGCACAAAAGATTTTCACAGCTTCCTTCATTTGTGAAGAGGGAAGGAGAAGGAGATTTCTACACCAAAACTGAATGCATTTTTATTATTTCCTTTTCCAGAGTGTTGTCTAAGAGCAATATGGATTGCAGCGTGTGCGTGTCCTGTCAGGGTGATGATTAGGAGATGGACTGGGAGGGTGAGCTAAGAAAAAAAAAGAAGGCACTGTATTGAGTCACTGATCTTAAAAACAACTGAACTCCCTCTTAAATGTTATAATCAGTGCAATGATTCTTGTATTACCCATCAAATGTTTCATGAGCGAAATGGTGATATATTTAGAAGCTCCTCTACGTAATGCAAAGGGCGTGGAAATTAAATCTAATGATGTGTCAGAGTAATCAATAAAGCTACTGGGTTTTGGAATAAGTGTAAATGTACAATGCTGT